GAATTTCAGGTAGCTTATTATTTACTTTACAATACCATAGGTAGTGAAGGCAATAAAAGAAAACAGTCCTCATTCTCCATGAGCTCATACTGAAGTTAAGGAGCCTCTGCATGGACACAACTAACAGCTAGCCACTACTGAAAGTCTCTAAATGAAGAATTCTGAGAAGAAATCCTATAGCTCAGGTGTCAGCCAAGATCAGCTTTCTTAGGGAGTTAAATAAAATTGGCTCCAATCTCAATCCTACAACTTGTGAGAAATCCAAGATCTCCCCATTCCCACATCCATCACCAACTCCTCTGGATTCTGTCCTGGGCAGGGTGAAGGGCTTACATCCCAGGGGTCATGCCTGGACCCGAATTCCTGCTTTCTCTGAAATCTGTTGCACTATGCCTCACATCTTATGGACATTTCCTTGTGCAGTGCTGACCCAGATGTGTGATGTAGCTCCTGTCTTTTGGTTTGTCTTTCCCCATCACATGAGTTAAAAAAGTATTTGTGTGGGTGGAAGACTTAACTTAAGGTTTGGGACCAGGAAGAGGGATTTATAGAAAACAAAGCAAACAAGCCAGGGGTGGTGGCTCAGGCCTGTAATCCCAGCACTTTGCGAGGCCAAGGCAGGTGGATCACTTGAGGCCAGGAGTTTGAGACTAGCCTGGCCAACATGGTGAAACCCTGTCTCTACTAAAAATACAAAAATTAGTCAGGAGTGGTGGCTCGCACCTGTGGTCCCAGTTACTTGGGAGGCTGAGGCAGGAGTATCACTTGAACCTGGGAGGCAGAAGTTGCAGTCAGCCACGATTGCGTCACTACACTCCAGCTTAGGCCACAGAGTGAGACTCTGTCTCAAAAAAAAAAAAAAAAAAAAAAAAAAAAAAAAAAAAAGGCAAAACAATGTAATATTGAGAAGACATTCTTGTTCTTAAAGGTGATTTTCCTATTTCACCTGCCCCACTCCTCGCCAGGCCTTAGCCTCACGACCTTCATAATCTTAACAATCTTTTCTGTTTTCCCACTGCCAGTTCCTATTTATTTCATGCAGAGCAGTTTTGCATTTTTTTTTGGTTTGTTTCTTTGTTTCATTGCAAACTTGTCCTAAGGATCCTAAGTATTTTCCTAAACAAAGAGAGTTATCTCTCTAAGAAAAACTCTGAAGTCAGGTGTTAAAAAAGTAAACATTTCACATTGATTTGGGCGATTGTAGTACGGAAATCTGAGCAGATCTCTTGGATGTGGAGATGGGACTGACTTCAAGAAGTCAGGGCTGCATGACCAGTGTCTGGAAAAAGGGAGGAGCATCACGTTTACCAGGGACTGAGAGGAGGCTGAGTTGGTTAAAACTGATGGTTTGGGCCAGGTGTGGTGGCTCACGCCTGTAATCCTAGCACTTTTGGAGGCCGAGGCAGGTGGATCACCTGAGGTCAGGGGTTCGAGGCCAGCCTGGGCAGCATGAAGAAACCCCGCCTCTACTAAAAAAATTAAAATTAGCCGGGTGTGTTGGTGGGTGCCTGTAATCCCAGCTACTCAGGAGGCTGAGACAGGAGAATCACTTGAACCCGGAGTTGGAGGTCGCAGTGAGCTGAGATCTCACCACTGCACTCCAGCCTGGGCAACAGAGTGAGACTCTTTCTCACAAAATAACTAAAAAACAAAAAATCTGGTAGTTTGTATTTGTAAATAGCAGGGGAATAATTTGGATATAGTGGTGCATAGGAAGGGGCATGATGGGGCAGTTACAGAGAACTTTAGAAGCTTAATCCTGTAAGTAATGAGAGTTTCTGGACAGGGAACTCTTTGGGGCAGGGAAATGATATGATTAGATTTTAGAATTCAGGGAGAACATTTTGCCGGTAGTGATTGGGTAGGCTCTGTGGCAGACTTCAAGCTGCCCATCAACCCCTATTCTTCCTTTCTTTACTCAGCTCCTGAGGTTTAGTTGAACACAACCACTGTGCCAGCCTCTCTGGCAGCTCTATGTGCACACTGGCTAAATTCTGGCCAATGGGATGCAGGAGAAGTGATATGTACCTTTTTGAGGGTTATCCAAAAAGTGCATCATTCTCTAATAGAAATAAATAAAGCTTCTTGGAGAAATGGCTGCTTCTAAAGGACTGGGTAGGAGAAGTGCAAGATAAGTCTGGAATATCTTGCTGTGCTAAAAGTAAAGAAACACTCAAAGAATGATGGGAGTGTGTTAAAAGCGCACAGGAACCAGCTTGAAGGGATCCCCCTGGCCAAATCTGGGGTAATTTGAGCAGCAAAATAATGATAGTACAGGAATATAACCCATAGAATAAAAAAAAGAATATGAGTCACTTTGAATGTAAAGTAATTGATAAAATAAAGGTGGGGGAAGAAAAATTATTTTTTATAATAGAATTCTATCTAATAAACATAAAAGGAAAGATGAAATTAGGAAAATCACCATTTGGCAGCCACCATAGTAGTAATCGTTCCAGGCAAGAATCAACAATGGATGTTAAAACTAGTGGGTGAAAATAGGAGAAGCAGCAGAATATTTACATGGTTTAAAAACATCATCCCACAATATACCTGTTAAATAAAAGGGGGCAAATATTTACTGTGGAGAAACCTGGCAGATATCACCCTAACCAAGTGGTCCAAGGTAACATCACCAACATGGGGACAGACTGCCATCAAGTGTCTCCTGGTATGATGGATCAAAAGACACGCTTCTGCCGCTGCCTGCCAAAAATGCATAGCCTAAATCTAGGCCTGAAGAAACACCACACAAATGCAAACTGAGGACATTCTTCAAAATAACTGACGTTTTCTCTTAAAAAAAATGTTAAGGTCATGTAAGACAAAGACTGAAGAACTATTCCAATTTAAGGAAATTTTAAAGACAGGACAACTAAATGCAATTAAATATCCTGAATTGAATCCTGGGCCAGTAAATTATTTTTCTTTTGCTATAAAAGACATTAGAGAAACAATCAATGTAATTTGAATATAGTCTGTAAATTAGACAATAGTATTATGTCAATGTCACTTCCTGACTTTGATCATTGTATTGAGGTTATGGGAGAGTATGCCCTTGTTGGGAAACACCCCATACTGCAGTGTTTTAGACATAAGGGGGTAAAGAGATAAATCATGTCTTTAATTTGCTTTCAAATGTTTTTGGGGAAAACTATTAAGAGAGAATGAATGATAAAGCAAATATGGTAAAATGCTAACACTTGGAGAATGTGAATGAAGGGTATACAGGGATTCTTTTAATATTTTTGCAATTTTTCTGCAAGTCTGAAATAAGTATAAAAAGTTTTTGTTTTTGTGTTTGTAAGGAATGAGCGTGCACTTCCATCTGCCCTCATCCCCTCGCCCTTCCTATTGGCTGAGAGATGATGGCCCTAGAGCGTGGTGGGTGTGTGCTGTGGATGGCAGCACTTCCCTACCAGCCCTGGGCCACTGTCTTCTACTGTTATGTGAGAGAAATCATCTATGTTGTTAAGCCACTGCATTGGAGCGTCTCTTTGCTACAGCTCCATGTCCTAACTAATACAGGCAACTAACTAATACCGGCTGTAATAAGGAGAGGCTAGAAGAAGGTGGCTTCTTAGGAGCGTGGTGCACTGGTTTAGTTATTCCTATTGAGGGCATGGAAAATGGGGTCATGGAGAGAGTTGGTGAAGACCACTCATTTGGGGAGAATTGGTGAAAGGAAATTAAGAATAGGAGAGCAACTTGAGGGTGCAATAGAGTCTTAGGATCCTCTAGAAGAGATTTTCCCTTTTAAGGAGCAGAGAAAAAAGTCCAAGGGAGAAAAGAGATGTTTGGGAGTTGGGGAATTTTCTGGTGACCTTGGTTCATACCCCACTGGTCACCTCTGTGTATGGCTGGCCTGGATTCCAGGACCAGATATCAGAACTATTTATGATTATAAGTGAAGGGCAGAGAACTATGAACCCACCTGGACTGACGTGGAGATGATCAAATATGATTTAGTGGGATACATAAGGAGAATTTAAAAATTACAATAATCATGGTAGCAGGTAATCTTTACCGAGTCCTCATTGTGTCTTGGGACTAGTTTAAGTTCTTTACCCCATCTACTCATTTTAACCTCACAATAACCATAAGACACTCTTCCTATTTTACAGATGAGTAAGCTGAGCCACAAAGAAGTTGTCAAAGGTCATTTGCAAGTAGCAGACACAAGCTTCAGATACAGGCAAGCTGCCTCGGGGCACCCCCTCCAATTTCTGGGGGCCACTTTTTGGTTCCCCGTCTCTCCTTCTCCTTTCCCTCCAGCAGCATTTGATGCTGACATAGGTGAACTGGAGACAAATGGTCTCCTTCATGTTGTTGTGGATCTGCACTCCAGAATCTACTTCCCACAGAGCAGGAGAGGGATGGGGTATGAGGAAGGGCAGCAGGTGTCAGCCGTGCCCTATTGAAATGACTCTGGCTCATTGGAAGGATGAAGGCCTGTCCATCTGAGGGCAAAAGAGGAAGGGCAGCCAGAAAGGGGCATGACTATTCTTTCCTGGTTTTGGAACTCTTGTGCTGTTGGCATGTGGGAGGCATTTGGGATGGGGTGAGGGTCGGAGTGGACTTGTGGGACCGAATGTCCCCAGTCTGCTATTCCTGCCCCCACTTCAGAGCCCTGCCACTCACAAGTGTGAGACGATGGATAAAGGAGGAGGGAAGTCAGAAGAGCTTCTGTCCCTGAGGGTCTCCACTCATTTCTTTCTGTGCTAAAGACTTTTTCCCATTTTAAAAGCAGTAGGCAATAAGTCCCGGAATGCCTGAAACAAGAAAAAGAGAAACTTTATAAATGCACTTTTGAACCTGGAGACCCAGCTCCTGGCCAGGAGACGGCAAACTCTTTTAATATCCTTATTCTGGATTCACTTAAATGGAAACAGCCTCCAGTATTTTTAGCTGCTGTGTAATCAAAGTGAAAAAGAAGAAGGAAATGTATATATATTTTTTTCCTAGTTAGAATAAGAGAAGGAATTGCTCATATCTTTTAGCAGAGTCCCTGCTGGGAAGGGAGGAAAACACCAGGAGTCTCCGTTTGCTCCTCCTCTGGCCTAGACAGGATTTAAACCCAGGGAGGGAAGCCAAGGAGAGACGAGAACAAGGGACGACCAGCAAGTACCAAGGTCTGCGGCAGGAGGAGACCGGCTCACAGGAGCAGCAGCGTTGGAAGAGGCACCCAGCAGCCTCCCAGGTAAGAGTGCCAGTTGCCCAAGCTTTACTTACTGGAGGGAGGAAGGTGGCCAATGCGGATGAGCTCAAAAGTGGTGGCTCAGGTGCCTCCGTTCCCGAGCCTGAAAATCTGGGCAGTGTAATTAGTCTCTTATCCACTCCACGAAGAGTAAAAATGAATTGGGAGGTACCTCTCAGGACCCATGTGCAGCGTCCTTAGTATTATACGCCAATCTCAGACAGGGCTAAGCATAGTTATCTTCTTTCCTGGCCAGATGCAGTCTGTGTTGTATCAGTTTCTACCTGGAGTAACACATTTTTGTATAAAATGTTTCCTTTAAAATGTTCCTTCTCATCTTTTTTTCTTTTTAACTTATTTACAATGTCAAAACTTTCTCTCTCTCTCTCTCTTTTTGGATAATTTAGTATTTGTTATATCTCATTATTCTTTTAAATCCTAAAACAGAATGGTTATTTTAGTTAGGATTAGGAAGCTAGGATAACTTTCCCTTTTTTCTGGATTTTGTGTGAATCAGTTAAGGGGATGTTTGCAAACACATTTGAACAGTTTTGAAGTATATCCAGATGTTTAATTTTACAGGTTTTAATTATTATTTGTTTAGACGACAACTTCTCTCCAAATCCCCATACTATTACCCTCACACTACCTCAAAGAAAACATTTCAAGATATCTCAAAAACTTGGCCAGGCGCGGTGGCTCACGCCTGTAATCCCAGAACTTTGGGAGGCCGAGGTGGGCAGATCACCTGAGGCTGAGATTTCGAGACCAGTCTGACCAACATGGAGAAACCCTATCTCTACTAAAAATACAAAATATTAGCCGGGCGTGATGGCGCATGCCTGTAATCCCAGCTACTCGGGAGGCTGAGGCAGGAGAATTGCTTGAACCTGGGAGGCGGAGGTTGTGGTAAGCCGAGATTGAACCATTGCACTCCAGCCTGGGCAACAAGAGCAAAACTCCGTCACAAAACAAAACAAAACAAACAAACAAACAACCACGCTACTTTTTGGAGGTCTTACTTTTTACTTATTTATTAATTTTTGTACTTGGGAGAGATCTAGGGGAAGGATGGAGAAAGAATGAATGAGAACAGGCAGGGTTCCACTTAAAAGCATGAAACCTGTGTTGCTTATATAAGCATTAAAAGAAAAGAACAAGTTCCAACATAAAAGTAACAAACTACCCACATCTGGACACAGATTAGCCATAGTGCCTAAAATCCACTGGTTTTTGGAAAAGCTGAGGTGTCACCAAGGCATCAGATGGTACCTTGCTCGGTCAGGGCTACATATTGACAGCTGGCCTCTTGACATTCAGACATTTGTTGCAGACTCGGAATCAAGGTGACAGTGTCAGACACAGGAAAAAATAGAGTGTCAATACTGGTATCGTTTTTCCCGGAGAGAAGGAAAGAAGGCACCTGGCATTCTTTCATACAACTCTAAGTACTGCTTTGTCCCCAATTTGTAGGCTGCAGCTGACTCCCGAAGGAGGGAAAATAGAACAAATGATTTCAAATCATCCCGTGGCTTCTGGTTTTCCAGTCCAGTGCTGCTCTGTGGTTTGAAATGTAGGGTGGGCAGAGCTCTGTTTCTGAGAAGATGCCTGAAGAAATTGTGCCCAGGCCCAGTGGAAACTTTTGTCCATTCACTGCTCATTCCAGAGCCTTGGCTCCTATAGGATCTGGATACAGACATGAGATCATGGTTTAGGTCCTGTAGCAGCATCTGGAGCCACCAGTCTGTGAGCTGAGGATGCTAAGATCTCAGGTCTGATCCCTGGATGGACAGGGACTTTGCTGTTTCTGCCACAGTGGACTCACTGCTAATGCTGCCCAGCCACCGTTTGAATCTGTACCCAGCCCGTGTGAGTGGAACAGTGTAAATGCTTGGAAATTAGCACTCTCCGCCTTGCTAGAAGGCTGGAACTTTAAAGTTACTTCAGTATGTGGAAAAAAAACACATTAGCTAAAGAAAGAAATTGCAGAGTTTTTGTTTTGTTTTGTTTTAATCTGATGCCTCTCACACCCACGGATATTAGGGCTAATTGGATACAAAGTAATACTTAGTCATTCTGGAAACTGGCTGTTTGGTTGAATATGGGAGAGGAAGGTTCCTGAATTTAGGTCCTGGGTCTATTTTATCTTGTTATTGTGCACGAGGTTGGTCCCACAAAAGCTAAAGGAAGTTCTTGCTGTGAAAAAGTGATTCATCCTCTGGGGGTAAGTGACCATCTTTGCCTGATGTTTAAGAGGAGATTTTAAAGTGTTTTGCCCAGAGCCTGGCATGTAATAAATGCATAGAAAATGGTAGCAACCATTATCATCACCCATTTAAGCCTTTGCAAGGCAGATTAAGAGTCAGTTGTCAAAAGAAAACACAATGAGCCTGTGGCCACCCCTGAAAAAGTGATTGAGCGCTGAGGCTGGGTCAGGACACCATCCTTGATCTTTTCAAGCCTCAGGCGGGTGGGCAGACTTGATGGGATGGCTCTCCAGGAAAAAGGTTCTAGCACAGTGGTGTGAGAGTCATCTCCAAGGACTTCCTGGGCACTCTCTGGGTGTCCCACAGAACTAGGAGAATGGGGGCACAGAGTGATGCCCAGAATGTGACCGTACTAAGCCCTATCACATAAAACCAAATTTCTGTTCTTGTCCACACCTAGCTGTCTTGTATCCTACATGCAATGCTTGCACAGAGTTCAGCGTCACAGAGACTAGAAATAAAGACGTTTGTATGTACTTGCTGCCCCTGGAGTTTAACCTAGGAGAGACAGACCTCCCTTGTACATCCATGTTCTTGGATCTGAAGGAGAAAGAGATACAGAGTTCGTGAAATCTGTTGCCTAAGCCTCCAGTTCACGGTGAGTTGAACCAGGGTAGATTCCTCAGCCAGCTGAGAACTTGCTGTCCTGGACCAGGTTACTTGGGAAGTACAGGGAAGACCCCTGAGTCACCCAGGGCCCAAGCTGAAGATCATTAGCAAAATATGCCTAAGAGAGTTAAGAAAGCAGTGACAAGTTTGCCCGTGTTTGTGACATTGATGCATCCCTAGCCACTCATCTCCCTCATTTTCCTTCATAGTTTAATGATATCCACCCTGTCATTTGGGGACAGAATATCTTCTTAAGTGACTCTGCTGGAAATCCACGATGATACACTCTTTCTAAAACCCAAAGCAGTGCTTTCATTTTCTTGTGGTTAACTGTCAAGGCAGGATGAGATAATACGGGAACCAGAGAAAGCCCTGAATTTAAGTATAAAGGTCTGTAACAGTGGCTAGAAATTGGCTACCTCTCTTCTTTGGCGTAAGTAGTATTTTTTTTTTCCTGACCCAGGGTGTGTGTCCTTCTTTGGGGAAAATGAGGTGACACAGAGACCATCCACCCCTGGGGTCCGAGAGGACCATCAGGATTCAGGGGCCATCCTCCTCCCTTGGCCAACGCTTAGATGCCATCTGCCCCTGCAGACAGAAGTCTCCGTGCACTTTGGTGTTTCCTAGGAAGGGATTCTCCAGCTTTTCATGAGAAGTGACTGGGACTTAACCTCCATGTGAGGGAAATGCAATTCATGTTCCCAGTGGATCATCCTTGGCACCACTCAGAGGAAGTACAGGCACAGGATTTAGTTACCGATTTATTAATTTTTAACTGAAAACCCAATTTATACCTTGGGTTTCTTTTATTTTCAGGAAAAAAAACCCTGTCTTAAAAACACGTGGCAGAACGGAGGACATTTGGTGGGTTTTTTTTGTTTATTTGTTTTGTTTTTTATATATACAGGACATATAACAGAGAGATAAAGAACACAGATGTGGGTAGTGGACAGACCTGGTGTATGATCCCAGCTCTGCTGCTTTTTAGCTGTGTGTCCTTTGGCAAATTACTTAACTTCTCTGAGGACCTGTCACAAAGAATGATATCAACTGACTCCTAGGATTTTGAGGATTAAATGAGGATAATTTTTATAGCGTTTGGCACAATGTCCGTTATCTAATAAGCACACACACACACACACACACACACACACACACACACAAATCCAGTGGCTATTACTATTTACTTCACAAAATATTACTTTGACAGTACTGTGCTATGAGGCTGGTGATACAGACGGGATCAACACAGTCACGGCCATCTCGGTCATCTCTGAGCTCATGAGGATGCCTGGGCTAGGAACATGCATACAGATTTGGTGGCTGTCAATATTTGGCTGGAAATTAAAGCCACAGGGGTAGATGCAGATACCAAGAGAGAACACAGCAGAAGCATAGAGCCCTGCAACATCTGAAGGCAGAAGTAGGGGGACCATCTGTGGTCAGTCGTGTACCCCTCAAAGAGCCTTTCTGGTAAAAGCAATACAACGAAGCATTTGTTCCTGAGTCTAATGTATCCCTCCCTCCCAGCTTCCCACACCACCCAACACCTCTCCTGCAGTTAGAATTAAAGACCTGACTAGCCTTTGTAAGACAATGATTCTTGGGGACAACTGGTTTTCTGTGGTTCCTACATACACATTTCCTGCATGTAAATGCCCTTTGCTTCATGCATCCCTGAAGAATTTACCCAACTTTCCATGGGAAAATACCCCTCAGTAGAATAATCCTCCCTATTTGGAAATGTATCATCCTGCGTTTTGCTTACAAAAATCTTCTGCCCTCTCTGCCCCCTCCCCACCGTCGCGGAGCTCAGCCTGTGGTTTGCTGTGCATACTGAAAGAGCTGATGAAGTCATCCTTCCCTTCTGCTATTAAACAAGGAGTCTCTCTCCTGCCACGTGTTGAAGTGAGAGCCAGCAGGCTTCTCTTCTTTCTCATTACACTTGACAGAGTGTTAGGTTGAGGATTTCCCTTGCTCTCATCTTCTTTTGAACAATCAACCTACCTAGGAAAATCTGAGTGCAACTTTTGGAATCTGAGAGGCAGTAATTAATGAGGACATCTTGTTACAAATCAGAAGGACAGGCAACACCAAGGGCTCCAACAGGGACTTCTGGGGTTTCTCATATTCCAGGCTACAAAAACAAATGCTGTAGACCTGGGCTCGGGGCAGCCTTGCTGTGGTTTATGGCAAGAGTCCATGGCTTTTTGTGTGTGTGTGTTCATTGAGAACTTCTTCAGAAAACCATCTGCACTCCATTTATGTCTCAGGCTGGGAGTAGGGGGTGGGGTGGAAAGCATGGGCAGGGAAGTTTGCTTTTTCAGCCCTATTTTTGCCCAGGAAGAAGATTTTTGGATAGTGGAAACTCATAGGCTGCCATGAACACAGTAGGTGCTTCAGAGATCAATATGAATTGTTACTGGGGAACGGCAGAAGTACACAGGGGTTAATGGCTCCATTGCTGGAAACTGTGCACCTGGGGTTGCATCTGTGGCCGTGTGCTCATCAATTGCATAATCAGGACATGTTGCTCGATGCCACTGAGCCTCAGTTCCTATCCTGGGGATCAAGTGGAGAAAAGTGTGTGGCTTTTATCTTTGCAATGAACGTTTAAGGATGGTCATTGTGAAATACCATTATTTTTATCCTATACCTGCCTTCCAATTCATTCTCCTGGCTTCCCACTCCCTCCATCCTCTGACACAAATCTCAAGCAGCTTCCAGAGCTTTTCTGGTAGCTTTTGGTCTTAGAAGAGAATTGCTTTTGTGAAGGCAAGTCCATTTCAGTATTGAGCCTCAGTCTGTCATCCAGGTCACATCTTTTCTTCTTTCTCAGCTCAGACCTGACGCTGGAACCTGCAGAGAAGCTGGAGGGAAGGGGCTTGGTGCTTTCCTCCCTCCATTTCTCCCTCCCTGACATGCATGGCTGCTTCTGGCTTCACCAGGTTGCTGCTGCCTGGGGCGAGGTGGGGATTAGAAAAGAAGAAGAGGGCATTTTTACTTTACTGGGGCTGTTGTCGTTCCCTTCATTGGATGCCCTTGTTATGGCGAATGCTCCCAGTGCTGGGCCACCCCTCCTTTCTGGGGAGCTTCTGTGGGATCTTTAGATATTCCCCTTCCCACCCACTGAGCATGTTCTCCTGCAGTCGCCGCCTTGGGGTGGCACACTCCTACTGAACGGTGGACATGCACCTCAGCTCGGGCCCTCAACTGCCCTCTTGGCAGCTCTAACATGCCTCATTTCTGTGACATCAAGTTGGCCTTGCCAAAGTCTGAGTTTCAGGCCTCTCACACTGCAGCCCCCTTCCTCTGTTTGCCATGCAGTCTGTTCCAGCCACGCTTCCCTCTGTGAATTCCTCTGGGCCAGAATCAGGCACTGGTCTCTTTGCCTGCCACTCCGCCTTATTCATCCTGACCTCACCCCCAACCCCCAAACCTCCAGTAGCACACTCTCTTTGAAATGTGTGGGCACAGCCAGGTGCGGTGGCTCACAGCTATGATCCTAGCACTTTGGGGAGCTGAGGTGGACAGACTGCTTGAGCCCAGGAGTTCGAGACCAGGTTGGGCAACATGGTGAAACCCCATCTCTACAAAAAAACACAAAAATTAGCCAGGCACGGTGACATATACCTGTAGTCCTGGCTACTCAGGAGGCTGAGGTGGGAGGATCACTGGAGCCCAGGAGGTGGATGTTGCAGTGAGCCGTATTTGCACCAATGCACTCCAGCTTGGGCGACAGAATGGGACCCTGTCTCAAAAAAAAAAAAAAAAAAAAAAAGAGAAAAGAAAAGAAATGTGCAGGCACTTATTACCCATGGTCCAAGTTGCAAGACAGCAAGAAGTGTCCCATTGACTATTTCATTCCATCTGCTGGGTGTTGAGTCCAGTGCCTGAAATGCACTCAGTGCTCAGAAGAAGTGAGCTCTTATTATTATCAACAATACATGTGATAGGAAGAGCCACGAAGGAGTGGGAGGGCAAAGGGGTAACACAAAGAAAAACTCTTCATAGGTACCATTCTGTTTAATTCACAGTGGTGGCACATCCCTTGGGTACAACATGTATAACAGATGAAAGCATTGCATAGGGACATGTATCTAACTGCTCTCTTTTGTCATTTGTATCAGAATGTCATACTAACGCAGAGCAAGCATAGGCTTGCAATTAGATGGGTCTGCGTTTGAATCCTGGCTCTGCCACTTTTAGTTGGACAACCACTGGCAAATGACTTTACCTCTCAGATCTGGTTTTCTTACCTTTTGAGTGAGGAGAGGAACACTGAGCTTACATGGCAGCTCTGGGGATTAATTACACGGATTAATGCACCTAGCCAATGCCTAGCGTGTAGCAGCAACTCAATAAATAACATTTAGCATCTAATACTATTGAGATTCTTCTTCTTTTTATTCTCCCAGGGCTCTTCATCCCGTTTCCTCAACTTCCTGATACTAAATGAATTATGACTATTAAAAGTAAAACATTTTACATATTACCAGAATTTGGCTTAGTGGCTAGAAATATTTCTTCCTTTTATGATCAATATAGTTGAAAGATGCCTTTCAACCTAGGCATATTAGTATCATTATTATTATTATTTGAGATCGAGTCTTGCTCTGTCACCCAGGCTGGAGTGTAGTGGCACGATCTTGTCTCACTGCAGCCTCCGCCTCCCGGGTTCAAGTGATTCTCTATCTCAGCCTCCTGAGAAGCTGGGATTACAGGAGTGCACCACCGCATCTGGCTAATTTTTGTGTTTTTAGCAGAGAAAGAGTTTCACCATGTTGGCCAGGCTGGACTTGAACTCCTGGCCTCAAATGATCTGCCTACCTTGGCCTCCCAAAGTGTTGGGATTACAGGCGTGAACCACCGTGCCTGGCTGGCATTATTCTTTATAGTAAAAAACATAAGGAAGAAAAGGAAGTCACATTCAGTACTTGATTGAAAACAAAATAAATCTCAAAATATTGACCTAGCCCTGCTCACGTGCCAGACATGGTGCTCACTGCTGTCCACATCCAAGAGGGGTGACGCACTGTCATTCCCACGTTACAGACAAGGAGGCGGAGGCTCAGGTTGAGGAGCACTTTTAGAGATGCACATCCTAGAGCCTGTCTGAGGTGCCTTTCCACCATATCCCAACTGCCTCTCACCACAGGCAGGGAGAGCCTGGGCTCAAGCAAAACACAGACCACAGGAAAGGACTGTGTGTCCTGACTTCAAACTTTGGCATAAATAATTGCAGGTCTTAGGTTGGTTACAGAAACCCATTGTCAAGAGACAGCTCTGCAGATCAGTTTCTAGATAACTGCTGTACGCAAGCCCAACTGGGATGTGTCTTGTGACTGAGGTTCCTGTGAGCAAAATGTGAGGTGAAAGCGGGGTCTCTTGTGGTCTGTCCTGCCTCAACTTGTTAGTGTGCAAAGAATGGGCCATCCCAGATGGGGATTGGGGGCACAAGGGGAAATGGCTGGAAAGAGGAGTCATTCTGCTCGTTGACAGTGGTGAAGACACCACCTCCTGGTGAGGGAGGAGGCAAAACCTAACCGCTGGCCCCATCTCAGGTCATCTGCTTGACTGACAAATTGGGCCACCCATGCACGGATAGATTTGAGAAACAGTGACCAAACCTCTCAGCATGTGTGACTGTGCTCCTGCCCCAGGAGGGCCCCAAGATGAATCAGTCCTGTCCTTAACAGGTTCACAGCCTAGTGGGGAGACAAGCTGCATACAAGAGTAACTGTAATACCAGGTCAACACTCAAGAGACCAGCAGTGAGGGACAGGTCCATTTCTCTGAATGCTTAGCAGAAGCGAGGCTAGTCTCTAGCTGGATGAGGCAGGGGGACAGGAGAGAAGACTTTGTGGAGCGGGTAATTTTATTAGAAATTCTTATATTTTACTGGTACACAAGTGGGTGTCATGAGCAGGACGCTGGCCCTGCAGTCAGTGTACTTGAGTCTGAGTACAGGTTCTGCTCTTCCTGGCTGTGGGACTCAGGACAACTTGCTCAGCTTCCTCATCTGTGCAAAGCAGCGTGGCATTGTGGGGATGAGCGTGGACTCTGGGGTCAGATTGCCTGGGTTCAAATCCTGGTTGGCAAATCATTTAAAGTAGTAGTGCTTCCGTTTCCATATCTATAAGATGGGGGTAATCATAGTATATTCCACAAACAATTGTGAGAATGGAATGAGTTAATAAATGTGAAACACTTAGAACATTTAGAATAGTGCCTATCACACAGCAAGTGCTCTATGTGCAGCTCTTATTGTTGATGTTGTTAAGAGGGAGGATAATATTAGGGTTGCTAGATCCAGAATTAGGGGGATCAAAGCGTGACACACAATAGGCTGTCAACATAAGAGAGCTGCTCTTATTATTATTAATAAGTGCAGGTGAGCCTAGAATGAGAGGTGAAGAGAAGGGCATCCTGGGCAGTGTGAACAGTAAGCAAAGACAGAAGGCAGGAATATGCAATCTGTGAGGCAGGAACAGAAAGTAATTTGGTTCGGATCCTTGGGAGAAATAGAATGAGTTCTTTCTGCTGGTTTCTCAGCTTCCTGTGGGCTCTTAGAATCTGGTAAAAAAGCCAGCTTCCCTCAGCACATCTCCATGGCTTTCTTTTGTAATGTTTCTAAATACAGGCATCCTGGAGGGTCTGCTCCCTGTCTTTCCAAGGATGAGTCTCCAGGAGATGTTCCGCTTCCCCTTGGGGCTCCTGCTTGGCTCTGTGCTTCTGGTGGCTTCGGCCCCAGCCACTCTGGAGCCTCCCAGCTGCAACAACAAGGAGCAACAGGTCACTGTCAGCCACACCTACAAGATCGATGTGCCTAAGTCTGCCTTGGTTCAGGTGGAGGCTGACCCTCAGCCCCTCAGTGACGATGGGGCTTCGCTTTTGGCCCTGGGTGAGGCCGGGGAGGAACAGAACATCGTCTTCAGGCACAACATCCGCCTTCAGACGCCACAGAAGGACTGCGAGTTGGCAGGCACTGTCCAGGACCTCCTGGCCCGGGTGAAAAAGCTGGAGGAAGAGATGGTGGAGATGAAGGAACAGTGTAGTGCCCAGCGCTGCTGCCAGGGAGCTACTGGTGAGCTCACCACCTGGTATTCATTCAACAAACATTTGATGAGTACCTATTATGTGCCAGGGGCTCCACTAGCCTCATGAGTACTTTGTGACTCTGGCGTGCTCCCACTTCTCATTCTAGGTTTTCTCTAGGGGGCCCATCCCTACTATTTATTCATTTATTCACTGGTACTAGCTCCAGGGAGCATCTGGAAGCTGAGCAAGGAGGGACCAGCATCTCTTGCAGAGAGTCTAGACTCCTGGCCTATTGCTTCCAGATGGGAATGCTTCTAGGGGCTGTCATGCCTGTGAATCAAAGCTCTATTCAGAGAGGAAGCGATGACATACACAGGAAAGATAGGGCCTTGGAGCTAGACAGGACAGTTTACAAATCCCAGTTCTACCACTTTTTAGCTGTGTGACTTTGGGCAAATCCCTTACGTTTCCTCAACTGTCCAACAAGGATAATTCTATCAACTAGTATAGTTCTGAGAACTAGAGATGATGCATAGAATATTCCTGGTCCTTAGTGGAATTTACAAATCAGTAAATTATAATTATCTTATTAGTAAATAATTACAATTGTAAAATAATTACAATTTAATTTTACAAATAATGAAGGTTCTCCCCCCACCCATCCCCCATCACTTTTAAACATAAACTGCCCAGGCTGATCCAAGTATAATGAACAGTACTTTGGCATAGGATTTCATGCCTGAAGGAATTGCTACGGTTAAGAGCACCTTAACCTTCAGATCCAGATACAGAACTCGGCACCAGGGCCACTGCCATGAATAACCAGCATGGACTTGCCTCTGAGGAGCCCCCACTTTGGAAGCGTTTTTAGGAAGGAGAGAAGGTGTTCTGAGAAGCAGAAGGTGGGCCACAGAGGAGATTGCACTGACCGGTCCGCCCTCCAGCTGCCTCTTGCCGTGTAGGGTCAGAGAGGGGAGCCTGGTTAATTCCCTTCTCCACAGTACCCATAGTTGAGAGTAGGCTATTTTGTGGCTTCTGCAGTTTCGTTTTTCCAGGCTTCAGTCTGGACTCATTTCACAAGGTCCCAGCCTTGCTAGTTCCAGCAAACTCCAACCTGCCTGGATCTCACTTTCCCCCTAGGAGTCCTGCCCGGCAGTGACAGCTGGCTAGGGTGGAGCATTTAAGGCCCCTCCATAGGAAGGCACTAAATAATGACCACCATGTAGAGAGGAAGGAACAGGGGGAATTCACATGGGAAGGAAAAGGAAAGAAGGGTGGGTCCTGCAGCCTTTTCAGGCAGAGAAAGGAGGAGACGTTTGCAGATGTCACAGATTAGAAAGCCTGGCCCAGGCTGGAAAGGGCCAACACCTTTTCTACCTTGTGGAGCTCCACCATCCTCCAAAAAAGAGCCGTGCAAGACCCAGAAATCACCAGACCCTTAAGAATGGGGCTAGTGATTTCTGGGTCTTGCATGGCTGATCTCAAAGGAAGGAGATCCCCTCGCACAACCCTTCAACCCAGCCTACTGTTTTACCTCTCCCTCCCAGATCTGAGCCGCCGCTGCAGCGACCACGGGACCTTCTCCCTGGAGACCTGCAGCTGCCACTGCGAGGAGGGCAGGGAGGGCCCCGCCTGCGAGCAGCTGGCTTGCCCCGGGGCGTGCAGCGGCCACGGGCGTTGCGTGGACGGGCGCTGCCTGTGCCACGAGCCCTACGTGGGTGCCGACTGCGGCTACCCGGCCTGCCCTGAGAACTGCAGCGGGCATGGCGAGTGCGTGCGCGGCGTGTGCCAGTGCCACGAAGACTTCACGTCTGAGGACTGCAGCGAGCGACGCTGTCCTGGCGACTGCAGCGGCCACGGCTTCTGCGACACGGGCGAGTGCTACTGCGAGGAGGGCTTCACAGGCCTGGACTGTGCCCAGGGTGAGAGCGGAGATGTGCCCTCGGGCTGCCGGACTCTTCTTTCCAATGCACCATTTAACTGTCAATTACACGTTGTTCCCTTTGGGGGTGTCTTCCTTTAGCCTACCCAGATTACTGAGTCCCAATCCCAGAGTTTCTGATTCTGCGATGGGGCCTAAGAATTTGCATTTCTAACAAGTTCCCAGGTGATGCTGATGCTGCTGGTTTGAGGCCCTAACCTTGAGGACCACTGGTCTTATGATCTAATGGCTGTGTGTGAGTGTGTGCGTGTGGTGAGGGGGTTAGTATTCATTACCTGTCGTTCGGCTAATAACTTCTGGGGGTCGGGAATGGCGCCTTACACAGGTCTGCATCCTGCACGCCCACCCTTATAATGCTCAGGGAATACTCACTGGGTCTGGATTGCCTGCCTTGCTCACCCTCTCTTCCCTGTTCCTGTTCTGCCTGCAGTGGTCGCCCCACAGGGCCTGCAGCTGCTCAAGAGCACGGAGGAATCTCTGCTGGTGAGCTGGGAGCCCTCCAGCCAGGTGGATCACTATTTCCTCAACTACTACCCCCTGGGGAAGGAGCTGTCTGGGAAGCAGATCCGAGTGCCCAAGGAGCAACACAGCTATGAGATTCTCGGTTTGCTGCCTGGAACCAAATACATAGTCACCCTGCGTAACGTCAAGAAAGACATTTTTAGCAGCCCACAGCATCTACTTGCCACCACAGGTGAGGAAGCCACCTGATGCCCCAGGGTTTCCAGGAGAGGCCCCATTCTAAATGTTTTCTTTCATTATTCCCACAAATACCCATCAGGCAGTTGCCTTGACTTGGAGTTTGAAAAACACAGCTGCCACAATCCTAGGTTCTGAAGAGTCCCAGTTCTCTCTCTTCTTTCCTTGCTCCCTGATTACTGGGTCCTCTAAGCCCATGAAGACCTGCTAGATGGGGGCTCATGGGGTCTTCTCTGTCCCTGAGATTAGTAGGGTCTGCACCTTCTCATAAGCAGTCAAAGGGTAGACCTGCATCCCCAGTCCCTCACTGAACCCCCAAAGCCATTCAGAAAGTTCAAGTTGGTATGGTGAGAGGCTGCTGAAGCCACCTGTATCAGTTAGATTCATCTCGGTGGGAAAGACATGACACGAATGGGATAATAAATTTCAAAGTTTAACCAACAGGTTGTTCACAAAAGTGTGGGTGGGGGTTGGATAGTGAAACACGAAGACCTGCATCAATAAGGATACACTCCTGCCTGAAGGGGCAAGGGATAGACGTTGGATGTTGGTACTTGGACCCAGAGAGAACTGTGGAAAAGAGCTGCTTGGTGGGATTGTTTTGGTAGAGGGATGCAGGCAATCCACTGTGTCTCCACAGAATTCTGTCTTCTGCCCTCTGATCTGCTGATGATTCCTGCTAGCTGAACCTGGAAGCCAGAGGATCAGGGAAAATGGCTGACTCAATTCACAGAGAACATAGCCTGGGGTACAGAACAAGATGGAGGATGGTGGAGGCTTGATATGGAGAAACGAAACCTCCTGTGCACCAGCAAATGCCACCAAAATGTTTAGAAGGATAAGCATCACTGCTTACTCTTTAAACATTCTTGTTTCCTTGTGAACATTCTTAAAGCAGCTTAGATCTTCAAGGATTTGGAAAAACGTAGTTGGTTGAATGAATGAATCATTCCTTCACGCAGTACATTTTTATTGAACACTTACCATTTGTCAGGCACTGCTCTAGGTACTGATAAAATTTTACTGCCTCCATCCTGCCCTAAACTTCTAGGGAAAGATCTAGGAAGATACAGATGGATGGAACTTTGGCATGCAGTTGTCTTTGCAGAGACATCAAGCTGCTTGTCCTTTTTGGCGGTGGGAGTAGGGTGAAGGTGGGGATGGGTCAGTGTTGGAAAGGACTGTGAGAGACTTGGTCATCATGAGAGCACCACATGTGATTGCCTTTGTCAGTGCCCTCAAGCTAAAGACCCCCAGGAGCACCCCTGTAGTTAAACAACTTGGGTGTCTTGATTGTTCTAGCATGGATGACTGCACACTATGGGAGACCATAGGGGTGTCTCAGTAGACAGTGTTAGAAAGGACTGGTTAGAGAATTTGGGCCTGTGTTATGTAATTTGGGGGAAGGTGTAAGGAAGCAGGGATTGGGTGCTGTCAAGAAGTGAGGAGAACCTCTCCCCTCTGAGAGGCTAAAGTTGGTGATTGTAACAGAAGTGGTCATTACTCATAGTAGTCAAGAGAGTGGGTGTTTAGCTATTTGTGTGGTTGGGACAATGGTCATGTTTTTGTCTGTGTTCATAGTTGATCATGGAAGGGTCTTGCTTTTGTCTTGATCTACATGGTCAAGAGTGACCTGACATTGATGTCCTGTGAAATGGTTTATGTTCAATAGGAGACACCAAGTCCTCACTGTGAGAGCCAGGCCTGCTGTGGCTGGCAGACTCTGCTTTTCTCTTCTTCCCCATTTTGTCTATGGCTACCTCTGGTACAGCTAGCACTGTGTCCAAAGCCTCCCAGTGCAGCATAGAGATGCCTATTCTGAAAGTCCTAGCAGCCCGTCATGACATCTTGCTCTCGGGATTTGTAAAATTCTGCTAGTGTGAAGTTTCTCTTACCTTCTAATCTGATTCGGCTTAAACACATTCTTATTTGCTCCTCAGGGGAGCCTAAGACAAGAGGTATTCATCCCCACCATAATCGGGAACATTCTCATTAAGTCCCTGCTTTTTCATTTGTGACTCCCTCCCAATTCTTTTACACCATGTAGGAACTCTTCTACAAGCCTCAAGTCACGTTTATTACTCACCTCTTGACCTGTCCTTCAGGGAATTCCATCTTTAATGGAAGTCTAAAAACAGCACCTGGCAGATGGAAGCCCGTGGGTGAGGGGAAAAGCTTCAGAGAAAAGGCTCTGTGAGGCTCTTTATCCATAACTGAGTGAATCGGGGATGTTCAGAGCCCGGGGACCTTGAGATCACTGAGTTCACACCTGGCCTGATGCACTAATTCTCTGTCCTGCATCATCCGTCAGTTGGCCTGGGTGGAGACACCTCCAGGGAGGTGAAGGTGGGGGCGTGACTGATGAAGTGGGGAAGCCTGAGAACTGGGGGGGGCCTTGGCTTTCCTGTTCCAAACTTAGAAGGCCAGGCTCCCTCAGCCTGGGATGTGGCTGTTGGAATTCAAACTGCTCCTCAAAGACCCCAGTCCTCCCATCCCCTAGGAAAGCTCTCCCCTTAGAGCCATAGCAATGAGCCATTCGTTTGTATTAATCACTGTAATTTCATGTTTTTTTTTTTTCTGAGTAGAAGAGTAAACGTTTAGCCGTTAATACTTCACTATAAATAAATATATGCAATAACTCTCTTCCTTCACAGGACAGACAGATTGGGCAGCATGAGAATACCAGGTACCTGATGGAAGTGCTAAAATTTGGTAGAAAGAGCAGGAAGGACACTCAGATGGACCGAGTTAAAATTCACCTACTTTATAGTTTTGCCTAGGGTTCATCCTTAGAGGAGAATCTGAGAGGCAAGGGCTGCAATTTGGGAGATGAAGGAAGGAGCTTGTTGGATCATTAATGTTGTTCTCAAGAAAGTTTGAAATGGATTCTCTCCACTTTCCATGGAAGTGCCTGAGCTTCTTATCCTGAGGTCGTCTTAGAGGGCAGGGGCTCTGCAGCTGAAGAGTGGGCCTTTAGTTCAGGGCTGTAGCTCTCTGAGCTCTGGACTGAGTGATTTGGGTGGCCAGCCTGAGAGGTACAGTCTGGGCTTGACCAAAGTCAGTGTGGACAGGGAAGACCACATGGCCTCTGGTGGGATGGGGAAGTGGAGGCTTTCCCAAAAGACAGTCTGCCTGTGGAGTATGTGAAAAACAGCAGCTGGGTAGCTCAAAGACACCTGTTAAGAACTGTGTCCTGGGACTGAAGCCAGCTCTTGAGATGTCAAGAAAGGGAGCTGACTTGATAACCAACAGCCTGTCACAGAATCTCAGAACCTTTGCTCTTCACCACTTTCTCTTGCCTCCCTCACCCCTGCCCTAGACCTTGCTGCACTTGGCACTGCCTGGGTGACAGAGGAGACTGAGCACTCCCTCGACGTGGAGTGGGAAAACCCCTCGACCGAGGTGGACTACTACAAGCTGCGATATGGCCCCATGACAGGGCAGGAGGTAACTGAGGTCACTGTGCCGAAGAGCAGTGACCCCAAGAGCCGATATGACATCACTGGTAAGAGCCATCACTGGAATGTGGGGTGTTTGCTGTAGATGCAGAGGTGGGGATAGTGTGTGCAGACAGCACTGGCATCTGCACTGCTCAAGTGTGCGCAGAGAGTCCAGGGGCCTTAGGAATCACACTTGAATCCGATCCTTGAATCTGCCAGACGTAAGCCCACCCAGGAGGCCTGTAGACTCTGTCCCAGCATTCCAGAACTCGATCCCAGAGCACCTTGTTAACAGATTATATTTGTGAGATGTTCTCCAAGTCAGCAAACTCTCTTGAAGACCCTGTCTGTGTCTCAGGATGGATTTGATGGTGTATAGATATTCCTTTTAGAGGAACTTGTGTATTTGGGTATTGGGGGCAAGAGGGGGGAGAGAGACAGAGAGAGAGAGAGAGAGAGACAGATTGAGATTGGTTTGTTGAGCATGATGCACGGAAGGGGTTGTGTTGGGAGGCGTGGAGGAGGGCAGGGAGCAGTGAGCAGGGATGGCTCCCTGTTTCAGATTTCTGAGCTAATGCTGCCAAGAGCTGGAGCTCAAATGGCTGCTAAGGAGACAAGGCTGCAGGGATGGATCAAGTTTGGCAGTGCCTGAAGTTTGTACAATTCCAGGGCTCTTTTTTAAGAAAAGTAATACACAAATTACTTTTGTGTATTACTAAGGCACAAGGCCTTAGGATGGACCCATGAAAGTGTGGGGCTTATTAGCTTCATGGTGAATTCCCTCCTGGAGCCTTGTTCTGCCATCCACTCCTTGAGTTCTGTGTTGACAGGACATTTTGGGGTTCTTAGTGTTTGTGGAGTGAAGAATGAGGGTGTGTGCCTCACACAAGCTGCTGTTTGTCTGCATTTTACCATTAGAGTCTGAATATTTGTGCCCAAGGAAAAATAATAATTCTAGTTGCTTCTACAGAGAAATAATTTTTTTTTTTTAAAAAGGGCTGGGCATAGTGGCTCACGCCTGTGATCCCAGCTACGTAAGAGGCTAAGGTGGGAGGATCCCTTGAGCCTAGGAGGTTGAGGTTACCATGAGCCGTGTTTGCACTGCTGCACTCTAGCCTGAATGACACAATGAGGCCCTGTCTCTAATAAATAAATAGGAAAAAATTAGGCTAAATATTACATTGAGAAGGAGAGATACTTTGGAAGGAAAAGGGTTGCTGGGAGCAGAAACACATTTGGACCTATAAATAAAATTGGGAAATAAGTGCTAGGTGGCCCAGTGAAGAACCAGAGAGCATTTGAAATGCATTTCAATTGGTGTCTTCTCATTTGCTCTGATGCCCTACTCCTGTCCCCAGCCAGTAAGCCCCCTCAGTGACTCCTCAAGTTCCACTGCTCCTGCGGGGCTTTATTTGCCGCCTGCAGATACAGATTCGTCTTTGGAGGAGGAAGCAAAACCCCTCATCTTCCCTCATGGGAGAAATCCTGGGGAGGAGCCGTGCTGGGGAGAGGGGTCTGGAGCCTGCACTCATGTCTCGCACTGCCTGCTTATTTCCAGGTCTGCACCCAGGGACCGAATATAAGATCACGGTGGTGCCCATGCGAGGAACGCTGGAGGGCAAGCCGATCCTCCTGAATGGCAGGACAGGTGAGAGCTACTTGGAGGCACTATGGACGTTTAATCATGCTTGCATTCTCACATTTTTCTTGGCTGACTCCTCTCTGGATAAGAATTCTGGGATTTGCAGACAGGCGGGGTGGCTCACGTCTATAATCCCAGTACTTTGGGAGGCCAAGGTGGGCGGATCACCTGATATCGGGAGTTCAAGACCAGCCTGACCAACATGGAGAAACCCTGTCTCTGCTAAAAATACAAAATTAGTTGGGCATGGTGGCGCATGCCTGTAATCCCAGCTACTTGGAGACTGAGGCAGGAGAATTGCTTGAGCCTGGGAGGCGGAGGTTATGGTGAGCCGAGATCGTGCCATTGCACCCCAGCCTGGGCAACAAGAGTGAAACTCCATCTCAAAAAAAAAAAAAAAAAATTCTGGGATTTGCATGTAGAGAGAGTCTATCCCTTTATTACTGATGTCTATTTTTAGGCAGGGAAAGGGAAGCAAACTTTTCATATTTCAAATTTTTCTTGCCATTGAAAATCTCTCCCAGGGTCTTGGAGTCAAAGGATAAGACTGTATCTGATACCCTTCTGCTTATTTTAATAGCTTCTATCACTGCATTGTTTTTAAGGCATTTATTATCTAGGATATAGGCACATAGCTCCTTTTTCCCTAAAAACAAGTGATCTATAATTTTCTTCTTGCCACATCTGTGTTTTTTCTTGATGACCACACTTAGTAGACTCCTCTAAAATGTCAAAAGATATTAAAAACCCTCACATGGGAATAGTGGTATGTTGTCATCTGTGTATTCAGAAAATATATAGTGATAAAAGGTTACAAATCGGTTATATTTGACAATAAGTTTGTAATTTATTAATCAGAACAGAATTTGAAAACATGGTAGGCATACACATGAGACATCCTAGGTAACTTTTAGTTTTTAAACAATAATTGAGTCCATATTGAATTGTGAACTTCCTCATTAACTCTGTGCTCCTGCCTTCCCCATGCTGGAAACCCGTGATCTAGAACATGGTGCCACTTGGGCAAACCAATCCTTGGAGCTGGTAAAGAAGGAGTCTTTGAGTTTTGAGTCTTTCTTGAAAAGTTTTTTAGTTCTTTCCAATTCAGTCCTGGAAATAGCTGGTTATGGTGGAGAGAATAAGGGGTGAGATGCTGTGAGAATTGAATTCACTATTTCAGCTGCCTAACAGATTGCTTATATGCAGTATGAAAGAGTTGGGCAATTATAATGGAGAACATATAACTTAATTTACAAACTAGACAATGTGGACTGTACAGTCTGCTTGAATAGTGGACTAGTGAACCGTTTTAATGAGCTGGAAAATGGTAAGTACTTCTGTGCCTCCAGTGGCATTCCCTGTAGCTGTGAATTAATTGAGAGCTTACTGAGTGCCAGGCATTATAATCACTACATAGTTTTTATGAATATCTCATTTAGTTCTCACAGCAATCCAATGAAGTAGATATTATTATTATTTCTCTGCCATATATAAGAAAACTGGAGAAAGTAAGCTCAAGATTGCCCAGGCAGGAAAGGACAGAGCTGGGATTTGAACCCAGGATACCCAAGTGTAAGCCTTTGGGCTTAGCTACTGTAAACCAAAAAGTATCTGAGATAGGCCTTAATCAACTTAGAAGTTTATTTTTCCAAGGTTAAGGACATGCCTGGGAGAAAGAAACATGGAATCACAGAAACAATCTGTGGTCTGTACCTTTCTCCAGAGATGATTTTGAGGGCTTCAATATTTAAATGGGAAAAGTGGGCTGGAGAGGAAATAGGGAGGGTATGTTAATTCCCATGTTGGAAGAGAAAAGGAGCAGGTAGGGGGATAGTCAATTATGTGTTGAGTAAATTTGCACTTTTCATAGGATAAGGTGAACACGGAGTAGCTACGTGTGGAGATATTTAACCTTCTATCTGTAGCCTGCATAGGAACAAAAGGAAAGGCAGCTTCTTGCATAACTCAGCTTTCAGCTTTATTTTTTCCTCTTGGCAGAGTGAATTGGGGTCCCGAGTTTTTTATTTTCCTTTCACGTTACAAAGCTAAAGTGCTTCCCACTTTTACCCTCCTGTAAGAGATAAACACTTTTTCTTCTCTTACACAGTCAACACAACTCAGAACATTTCCCCTCTGGAAGTGATTTTTCCCCATATACCAGGGAGTTTTCCATCAGACACCAACTGGGTGTTCTATAATTCAATTCATATGTGACATTCCTCCCTGGAAATAGCATCAGATCCCACAAGTTAAGGGCCCAGACCACAAGACTTTCCTCACTTCAGATGCCTGTCACAGTCCCCAGGTTATGACCTGTACTTCTGACCATTTGGCTATAAATTGGGGGTTTTTATGACTCCCCTCCTTAGGTTCCATTAATTTGCTAGAGCGGCTCATAGAACACAGGGAAACACTTTACTTACATTTACTTATTTATTATAATAAAGAATATTACAAAGATCCAGGTGAAGAACCAGATGGAAGAGATGCATAGGTCAAGGTATGTGCTTCCATGGCCTCTGTGGGTGTGCCACCCTCCCCAAACCTCCACATGTTCAGCAACCAGGATGCTCTCTGAACCCAGTCCTTTTGGGTTTTCATGGAGACCTCATTATATAGGAATGATTGATTACATCATTGACCACTGGTGATTAACTCAACCTTTAGCAACTGTGAGTGCCTCTCTCCTCCCCCTTGTTAGCAGGGTGGGCAGGTGGGGCTGGAAGTTCCAATCCCCTAATCACAAGGTTGGTTCCCTGGCAACCACCTCCTTTCTGAGGCTATCCAGGAGCACCCTCCAACCCCTTACAGCAGTCATCTCATTAACATACAAAAGACACCTCACTTTGGAGATTCCAAGGCTTTTAGGAGCTGTGTGCCAGGAATCAGGGAACCAAGACCAAACGTGTTTCTTGTTATAAATCATAATATCACACCTCTCATCCTTCTTGCCCATTATTTCTGGTTAATTTTCATACTGTTTGCTTCCTAACTGAAAAATGTTCTATGATTCATCACAGACTGAGGAGGAAGCATAATGCTTTTATCTTGGCCTCCGTGGTCTGTGCAGCCTGGGCCATTGTTATTCTCATTGCTTCCCCAGGGAAAGCCTTCCTGTAGCCAGACTGTTCTTGGGGTTTCCTAACAGAAGACTTATCTCTGCAAGTGGGTTTCTGTTGTTACTCAGCCTAGAAAACCCTTGCTATTATTTCTAGCCACAAATTAATTTAATTCAACAAACATTTATTGCAGGATGTATCTGGGCCGAAGAGACCTGATCCCTTTAGAAATTTCCAGAGCTGATAAGCCATGGTCCTTGTCCTTCAGGGGATCACAGCAATAACGTGAGGTTCCACTGCAGCCTTCTATGACCTCATTAAATGTCAGCCAGATTTGCCTCTGAGGTCTGAGAGCATTTAATCACATATGGCCTTGAATTGCTACTTAGCCTTTCACGTATACTGGAATGTTACTACTCAAAAGTGTTTTTATTGTCAATTATATCCTAAAACCAGGATAGAATATTTTATTGGATTGCAAATAAATTTGTGTCATGTGTTTTACCAGCATAAAAAAGAAAAAGACACTGTAATTTACAGGGTCAGGAAACACTCTTAAACCTGGCTAGACTGTTAAGTAATTTAAGGGAAAAGAAGAATCGCTGTTTTCTCCAAACGTTTTGCATCCCACCAGGTGGAAAAGGATGCTGGAACTTAAGAACAGCCTAAGCATGTGCAGGGAGGAAACGACACAATTCAGGGATTTTTCATTTAATGAGGCACCCAGTGTAACTAATACCATGACAGGGAAATGGTTGACTGAAATTCCTCACCCTGTTAACCCAGCACACTCAAAGTGCGCTGGAACACCTTCCAGAAAGGCCGGCCTCAGAAGCACGTCAGCTTCAGGAGCAGCAAGCATAGGCCAGTGTCTGTGGGGGGTTGTGAGGGGGAAGGTCCCTGGACTTCTGCATCATACCCTGACAGCTATGCTTTCCATCGAATGAGAAGAAAGGGAGGCTACTAACTGAGAGGTGATGTCATTCTTTTGTCCTCTATCTGTAAAATGAAGAATTGGACTAAGTGAGTTTAAAGTCCTTTCTCTTCTCTTATGATGATGGTATTCTGTTAATAGCTTCATGCTTTTCCCTGGTGTGTATAAAACAAAGCATGCTTGCTTTGTTATAATTTCACAGGCTCCCGTGCACAGCAGAGCTTATAGCCTAGAATATTCACTTGTCATCCATTTTCTCAGAACTTTCCTCCTTAGACTATGCTGTGAAATAGCAGTTTTGCTTTTCTTAATATCTTTTTCACTTCTTACGGATTTCCAAACACAGTGTTCCGTTTGAAATGGCTTAGCCCCTAAAACTTTGGAAACTCCTTCGTGTCCTAAGCTGAGCTCCTGTCACCATTCAGAACTCCTGTCTCACACACAGCCACCAACACACACATTCAGCATCTGGACAACAGCAGCAATCTCTATCATTTGCGTGACCACTGTATTCTAGTGGGCTTCTGTACACTGTGAGACTTTGTAAATATGATCTCTGGTCCTTATAATATCAATAGGATTGCAAGCATTATTATTTCCATTTTACATATGAGAACATTGAGGCCTACAAAGTTTAGGAGACTCAGGGTGAGCTAGTGAATAGCTAGCTGGCACAACTCAGGTTCACTTGAAATCAAACTCAATAACCTTTTTAGAAGAAAAGCTGGAGGACAACAGGAAGAAGGGTTGCCCTCTCTGAGTGCATTTTCTACAAACGGTACCTTCTGGATAATTTTGTTGCCACAATGGAAAGACATTAGAGGAGGTATGTGTAAACAAGAGTGCAGAACTTGTAGGTATTGTGGTCTCAAGGCACCTCTTCCATGAACCCACCTTCAAATCAAAGACACAGGTCCTGCCCCTGCGTCTTCCTCCCCCAGGCTCGTTTCTCATAGATTTTATATCCTGTCGGTGCCATCTTCTACTGCACCAACTGGGAGATTCACAGGTGGCCATTGTGAGTGGAGAAACCTGTTCCTAATGCCTGTGACTACGTGCTCAAGTGTGGACATGGGCTATTGGATGTTATAGCCTAGACTGAAGACAGCCATTCCCTACCTAACCCTGCGGCGAATCATGTTATAAAGTGGAATAAGCTTTCCTGATGTGAACAGAGCTTCTAATTAACTTCCTCCATATACTGTGTTTAGGTTTTGCAAATTAGATCTCTTTGAAGTGAAGTGCACCTTTATTCTAACTAACATATGTATTCATAGGCGAGTTCCACCTATCCAGTTTTATAAACCTTACCTTACATCTCTCTGACCTTGAATGGCCCTGAGAAAGATCCCACCAGGGCTGCTGGTGTCCAGCAGTTGGGAAGTCACAGCCTGGGGAGGATGTTGGGCTGTGGTGGGGAGAGCCTGTCTTGTAGTAGAGGCTACAGCTATGGCTCATCTGTGATTTAGCCAGCTGCTGCAGCTGCTGAAAGGCTTTCTTGCATGGAAAAACTATTTCATAATCTCCAGATCCCTTTTTGGTAGAGAGAGGTTTCAGTCCTGCAAAGCTGGCCTCTTCCAGCAATCTGTCCTATCATGGGGGTCCCATCTCTGAGGCCTTCCTCCCATTCCTGTGTCTCAGCACCTGATCCCACTCACTGGAATGGTTAAGGAGAGCAAGCTCTGTGAAGACCCCCTCTCAATTGAGTTGCTGTGGTTAGGGACCTGAGAGAAAAGGGAAGGCAGGGGGCTGAGAGCTGTACTGGCACTGTGAGCTTGGAGAAGTCACATCTCCTCTCTTAAACCTCCTTAAACCTCCAGGTCTCCTATAACCCTAAGCATAATATGATTCAGTTTTACCTTCCTACTCTTCATGCCCAAGATGCTGTTTCCTGGTTCTTCTCCATGCCTTGAGAGCTCTGGGACTGGTGGGGGAGAAAGGAGCTACAGGGCTGGTTGCTGCTTCCTCTTTCCACCCATGTGGACGTGATGGATCTTTCCTTTATTTGTTGACTTTTATTTATTTATTATTTTTATTTATTATTATTATTTTTAGACTGAGTCTTGCTATGTCTCCTAGGCTAGAGTGTGGTGTGTGATCTCGGCTCACTGTAACCTCTGCCTTCTGTTCAAGCCATTCTGGTGCCTCAGCCTCCTGAGTAGCTAGGATTATAGGCGTGCACCACCCTGCCTGGCTAGTTTTTTGTATTTTTAGTAGAGACGGGGTTTTGCCATGTTGGCCAGGCTTGTCTCCAACTCCTGGCCTCAAGTGATCCACCCAGCTCAACCTCCCAAAGTGCTGGAATTGCAGGTATGAGCTGTTGTGCCTGGCTGTGATATATCTTTCAACACACACAGGCAGCACCAACCCCACAAAGCCACAGACCTCTGCTGTGGGTCCCAGAAACAATGGTAGCAAGCACAGATCTGGGGCAGGGAGATGGGGTGGGAGGCACTGCTGGGATATGGGGTTGTACAGATGTGGACACTTTTGAGAAGGAGAGGGCCATGAACTTTAAGAGCAGGACTGCTAGGATGTTCTTCCTGCACCCTTAGTTTTCCATTTCCACTTTGTCACTAATTTCCCCAGATTGAGATGTTGGTTTTGGATGGCTCTTGTCATCTCTTCCCTTTGACATGCAGGATCATATCTTGCACCGAAAGTTGTAACAGGATGCAGAGAGATTTCTCTCTATCATTGCACTTTTTTCCTTGACTGTCCTCTTAGAGCCTGCTAGAGCCTCCAGAGGCCCTGGCCATGGGGTCAGATGGTGGATGCCTGCATCCTAATTGTCCCCCCTGTCATTCCTGGAGGCCCACAAGTGGCAGACTATTGTGAGACTATTGGCTCCGAGCTCACAGTCACAGTGAGACTATTGTCTCACAAGGCAATAGTTCGAGACCAGTTTCTCTCTTTAGTTCCTGTGTATTACTGCTGCTGGATTTCAGGTCACAGTAACCTTTCAGATCACACTTTACTTTATTTATGATTTATTATTATTATTAGTTTCAAAGGAAAATGCTATTGATAGTGCTGCTTAGGACATAGAGGTAAAAAGTGGAAATGTACAGTCTTTGTTAGATAAGAATGAGTTCAAATCTTGGCTCTACCACTTAATGTATCCAAAAGCAAACTCTTGGTCCTCTTCCTCTCCCAACTCCCTACTGCAAACGCTTCCCTCCCTCAGCTATCCCTCAGATATCTATATATATAGAGATATAGATGTCTCTATAAATGGCCACCCCATTTTGCAAATTACTCAGGCCACAAGCCAACAAATCATTCGTTGTATCCCACATCGAATCTATCAGCAGATTATGACAGTTTTACCTTTGAAAGCTCCAAAGCCAGCCTTCTCCATGACCTTCATTACTGCCGCAGTTGCCTGCACCCCTGCCATCTTGCATATACACCACTGAAGCAGCCTCCTAGGTGACCTTCACTCTTGGTTCACTTGAGTCAGTATTCTCCCCAGAAGCCGGAGGGATCCTTTGATAGCTCAAGTCAGATAAAGTCATTCTTCTTTTCAAAGCCCCCAGAGACTTCTCACGTTACTTAGTGTAAAAGACAGTGTCATTACAATGGCCTTCAAGGCCATCCATAGTCCACTGTCCCTCTCACTTTCCTGGCCTCCCTTCCAGCCACTTGACTTAACTCTGTCTAGATGCACTGGCATCCCTGCTGTTTCCTGAATACATGAAGCAGGACCTTGGGTTAGCAGGGACTTGTGTAAAAGAAAAAATGAGGGACTTTCTAAGGTCATGGGCTAAGGATATGTTCTTGGGAAGCGCAGAGTCTAGGACATAGCTGGCATATTGTTCTGGGTTAGTTCTTTTTGAATATAAACTCCACATTGGCAGGGATTTCTGACTGTTTTGCTCAGTGATAACTCCTAAATGTCGTTACATTCCCTGGCACATAATGGATATTCAGTGAAGTGCTGTTGAATGAATGAACTGAGTTTTGGAGATTTGTATTCGAAAAGAGAGAGAGGAGCATGTGTAGATATAAGTGCCAGGTCTGGAAACCGTAATTGGAAGGAATGAATAGGGGAGGCGATGTTGTTTTGATTTGAGGAGAACTAGGGAGGGGAATGATGACTCTTCTTGAATACTTGGTCTCCTGGAAGGGGAATTAGATGTATTCTCTCTGTCTACCTAGGGTAGACAATTGGAAGGAGTTACATTTGAAGGAGTTTTCTCTAATATGTTTAGTAGTCTGAAAATGGAAAATGGAATGGATTGTGTTGTCTGTTGGAGAGTCCCTTCTCAGTTTAGGGTTCAAGCAGAAGCCAGTTGTCCACCTGTCACTGATGATGGAGAGACCCCCTTGTCTTGCATAGACCATTGAACTAGGTCACCCAGGTGAACTAGATCTTTAACAATCTATGATCTTGACCAACCAACTGGTTTCTCTGATTTTTCTTTCTCACGTATTTTTATGAAGAAATTGACAGTCCAACCAATGTTGTTACTGATCGAGTGACTGAAGACACAGCAACTGTCTCCTGGAAACCAGTGCAGGCTGTCATAGACAAGTATGTGGTGCGCTACACCTCTGCTGATGGGGACACCAAGGAAATGGCAGTGCACAAGGATGAGAGCAGCACTGTCCTGACGGGCCTGAAGCCAGGAGAGGCATACAAGGTCTACGTATGGGCTGAAAGGGGCAACCAGGGGAGCAAGAAAGCTGACACCAATGCCCTCACAGGTAACAGAAGGACGGGAGCATAAAGTTTTCTCGTGGCAGGGAGAAGGTTGATTTTTGAATCAGGAGGTCATTGCTCACCTGGCATCAGCTCTTTTGTTTGCAGGAGTGGGGAGGAGGGTTGCAAAACCAATTTTGATTTTCATAATTATGTATTTTTTTCTTTTTTGACATCAAACAAAAGAGATCAGCCTTTTCACTCGATGCAGAAGGTCATACTTATTTGAGTTGGAATTCTGTATGCAACCCCCTCAGAATAGGGTAACACTTTCTGATTTTCATTTTTTAGTGTGAAAACTCAAAACACTGGGCTGACAGTGAATTTGAATGCTTATCTCAGTTTGCAGTGGCTGTACAGGCACTTTGCATATAATCTGGAGCTCTCTTTTAGACCGTGGAAATAGTTTGCATCCTAAGTCAACATTTACTAAATGGACCAATTCTTCCTTTAAGCTTTCAGAAGCTGCGAGGGTTCTCTTACTTCACCCAGTCATTCTGCTCAGTTTGTGCCTGTAGGGGTCCTGGGACTATGCTGGGACATAGCCCAGCCATTCTTTCTGCTTAAATCCTCTCCTGGTGCTTCTCTGAATTTAGAGCAGCCTGATCCTGGAGCCCACATGAGGTTCCAAAACACCTGGCAGGAAATCAGAGGGAAAGGCTTCACTTATTGTTTGCATTCTGTTCTGGACAGTCACTGAGTATAGAGACTCTCAGAGAAGCAGAGAGGTGGTTAGGAATATAGTTTCAGAAGCTTGACTGTCCAGGTTTTAACCCCAGTTCTGCCATTGACTAGCTGAGTGGCTTTGGGCAAGTTACTTTACTTCCGTTCCTGTTTCTTATGGCATAAGTGAGAGCAATGATTTTTTAGAATGTTAGTCAGTATTTGGCCCTTGAAAGATTTCGTGGTGCACAGCCTCCTAGATCCATGTGGGCCTCAATAGTTGACCTCTTCTTCAGGGGAGCAGAGAAGATATTGACAGTAAGGATGGTGATATCTAAATCTGTTTAAAGTCAAAGTCAGCAAATTTCTGTAAAGGGCCGGATAGTAAATATTTTCGGCTTTGGGGGTCCAACAGTCTCTATTGCAATTACTTAACTTTGCCATTGGAGCGTGAAAACAGCCACAGACAATGATGTGTAAATGGACTGGTGTGACTGTGTTCCAATAAGACTTTATTGATAAAGATTGGCAGTGGATCAGATTTGGCCTGTGGGTTGTAGATTGCCGCTCCTGGTTTACATTACACCTGACTCTCTTTTTTACTAGGATTCTGAGTGTCATGAAAAGAGCATTTGGGTCGGCATTTTTTGTTTGTTTGTTTGAGATGGAGTCTTGCTCTCTCACCCAGGCTGTAGTACAATGGCGTGATCTCGGCTCACTGTAACCTCCACCTCCTGGGTTCAAGCAATTCTCCTGCCTCAGCCTCCCAAGTAGCTGGGATTATAGGCGCCCACTGCCACGCCCGGCTAAGTTTTGTATTTTTAATAGAGACAGGTTTTCATTGTGTTCCCAGGGCTTGTCTCGAACTCCTGAGCTCAGGCAATCCACCCGCCTTGGCCTCCCAAAGTGCTAGGAAATACAGGAGTGAGCCACCGCGCCCAGCCCAATTTTGAAACAGAGGAGGTTGGAATAGAGAAGAACCTTCCCTTTTCTTTGGCAGGGATTGTGTGAGCAGCAGGGAACCTCTAGGGGGTGGCATTGCCACTGGGAAGGGGTCAGACCAGAGCTGAGCTCTGGGGGCACAAACATGAAGGATGTGGTTCATGCCCGTGTGACATTCACAATCCTCTGGGTAGAGAAGACAAGTGAAAAAGATAAAGGACAGTGAGTTATGTTCTAGAGGAAACAAAGGTCCCTGGAGCTATGGGGAACTGAAGAAAGGGGACCTACCACAGACTGGGACAGGATAGGGGTCATGCAGGCTGTGGGAGGAGGTGACACCTGAACAAAGCCTGGAAGGATGGGTGGGAGTTAGCACGGGAGGCAGCATATGCAGAGGCTAAGGTGTGAGAATATGACAGGTTAGGTCCATCTCAAGGGGTTTTTATGGCAGGCCGGTCTGTGTGTTTGGTGCACTAGTGAAGGATGAAGCCAGCTCGGAATCCTGGGTGCTAAATCATTTGTCCTCAGGTCAGATGTCTGTGGTGCTTGCTGAACTCTGCTCCCTAGGGTGAGTCACTGCACGTGGCTGTGCATTCCACCATGCTGGCCTGTCCCCCTCGGCAAGTGGTCCTGTGCAGATATGAAATGCAGGTACCGTCACAAAAACTACAGCCTTTTTTGAGGAGGTAGTTTCTGAAAGAGGATAATAAAGGCATGCTAACCACACACATAATTGCTTGGATTTTTGACTCCCAAAAGATGTACGTTTTGAGGAGAAAGTGGTATTTCATGCCTCACATGCCATTAATAATAGCAACTTATATTTAAGCATTTGCTATGTAATATCTCATTTACTATTCACCATAACCTATGAGGTAGGTACTGGTATTTCTTTCTTCATAGAGTTGAGGAGACAGACACTTAAATTACATGGCTTGTCCAAAGTTAGCCACCAGGAAGAGATGGAGCCCAGGTTCTAACCCAGTTTAATCACAGAGAAACCCAGACAGATTCTACAAGTTTTATTCTTTTTATTAGCCCAGACCTCGGATACTATCAATTGAAAAGTCTCCTGGTTCCCTGGCCACAGATATAATGTTTTATACAGAAAGAACTGATGGCTACTACTTCTAGGATATTTTTCTTCTCAAAGAACATATTAGAGCAGATGCAGAGGTTTATTCAGTATAATTGCTTTCTAGTACAAGGAGTCAGGAACTAGAAGAATATATTATATAAATCCAGGGTAAAGGAGAAATTTGAATGTGAAGACCAATTCTTTTTATTCCAAAGCAACTTACGGGAAAAGTTTATAGAGTTGATAAAGATGCTGGCTTTGTTTGAAAACTCCACTTCTTATTAAATGTTATTAGCCTATTACTGGAATTTCAGACCATTTGCTTAATTAGACCTTTACATTAACTCAATCATTGACATATTAGAGACTCTGACATTTGTTGAGGTTATGATTTTGACTGTGTATGTGCTATCTTTATGGAATTAGAGGGTGGTAAAGGCTACATTCTTCTTTCATCTCTCTCTTAAAGAAATTGACAGCCCAGCAAACCTGGTGACTGACCGGGTGACTGAGAATACTGCCACCATCTCCTGGGACCCGGTGCAGGCCACCATTGACAAGTACGTGGTGCACTACACCTCTGCTGACAACCAAGAGACCAGAGAGGTTCCGGTGGGGAAGGAGCAGAGCAGCACTGTCCTGACAGGCCTGAGGCCAGGTGTGGAGTACACAGTGCACGTCTGGGCCCAGAAGGGGGACCGAGAGAGCAAGAAGGCCAACACCAACGCCCCAACAGGTAACAAAAGAGAGATGGTCAATTGGAATTGTGTTTTGAGCTTGTGGATTTGAATGGGTATGGTATCAAAGGATGTGGCCTGAGCAGAGAGACTTTGCAATTAGAAGTCTTAAAGATGAAAGAAAGACTGAGGTCTCGTGGTGATGGCAGTGGGCTGCTCTTCCCTGACAGTGATGAGCTGTTCATGAGACCACTTGGCCCACTGGAAGGGAAAAGTAAAGTCTTATAGTAACAATGCTTTTAGCAGAAGATGTGTACAGGATCTGGTCATTGCAATGCTTGTGATAATACTTTTAGAGTGCTCATCAGTGCAGCAGCCCTTGATAAAATGTTAAGTTAGGAACCCTAAACGTCATGGCAGCTGTTTAATTGGAGGTTGTGATGTGCCATGTGCTTCTGAGAAGACATCGTTCTTCCCACATTTTAGGGAACTGAAAGCCAAGAAAGAATGCCTCATTTATAATGATTCTTCCTTTGAACTTCAGAACCAAGGGCTACTTTCTCCTTAGACTCCCAGCGGAGACTCAAGATGAGAATGCCATTGCCTTGTTCTAAAAGAGCTCGGGAAGATGAAAATGATGAAGATGGAGGGATGGATATGTCTTCCATGGCTTCAGAGCTTAAACCTTTCCAAATATTTTCCTTCCAGACATTGACAGCCCCAAAAACCTGGTGACTGACCGGGTGACAGAGAATATGGCCACTGTCTCCTGGGACCCGGTGCAGGCCACCATTGACAAGTATATGGTGCGCTACACCTCTGCGGACGGAGAGACCAGGGAGGTTCCGGTGGGGAAGGAGCACAGCAGCACCATCCTGACGGGCCTGAGACCGGGCATGGAGTACATGGTGCACGTGTGGGCCCAGAAGGGGGACCAGGAGAGCAAGAAGACTGACACCAAGGCCCAGACAGGTAAGGAGTGTGCATTATCGCTGTACCGGTGCCATGCTCAGGGTCTGTCTACATGGGGTTTTCTTCTCTGACCTTGGCATAAAGGGAGGCTTTATGGAAGAGCAGGTTGGTATCCTCCCATAATACATTGTGTACCCCTCACTTCCTTTTACTGGCCTCTCTTAGAATGCCTCAGTGGTGGTCTCCAAACTCTAGTCTTTAAAGATGGCTGACCACTGCGCATAGTTCTTTGTTTCTTCTTTGCCTGAGTACCTTTGTCATTAACACACTAACTGCTTCAACTTGACAAGGAATAAATATTAAGAAGTAACTATCATGCTGAGGGAGCCAGACTTAGGGATTGTGATCAAAAAACACCTTAAAAAAAAAAAAAACATTCCTCATCTGTTTAAACCCTTTGCAAGCTTGTTTTTGTTCCTGCCCTCTGAATGAATGTTTTAGGCAGAAATAATAACAGTGTTTCATTAGCTAAAAATAAGCAAATATCTAGTCATTTTTAGTTCCCCAGATGTATAATTTTAGTAATTATGTCATTTTCATGCAATAGTCCCTACTTCCCTACATGAAATCTCCTCTCTCTCAGCTTGGGCCACCTGTGGGCCAGCTGCCTGCTCCAGGCAGGGGACATGCAGTTTCTCTTGTATTTTCTGCTGTGTACCTCAAGCGCTGCTCTTCTAGCTTGCTGTATGCAGTTTCTCACCCATTTATCTTTGGCGTTGCTGGGAGAGGTAAACTGATGAGAGGTGAGGGGTGAGGATGGGGAGAGGTGAAGGGTCAGGAAGGAGGAGAAGTGAAGGGTCAAGGGGAAGGAGAGGTGAGGGGTCAGGAGGAGGAGAGGTGAGGGGTCAGGAGGAGGAGAGGTGAGGGTTCAGGAGGGGGAGAGGTGAGGGGTCAGTAAGAGGAGAGTTGAGGGCTCAGGAGGAGGAGACGTGAGGGTTCAGGAGGGGGAGAGGTGAGAGTTCAGGAGGGGGAGAGGTGAGGGTTCAGGAGGGGGAGAGGTGAGGGGTCAGGAGGGGGAGAGGTGAGGGGTCAGTAAGAGGAGAGGTGAGGGTTCAGGAGGGGGAGAGGTGAGGGGTCAGGAGGGGAGAGATGATGGGTCAGGAGGGGAAGAGTTGAGGGAGTCAGGAGGGGACGAGGTGAAGGGTCAGGATGAGGAGAAGTGAGGGGTCAGGAGGAAGAGAAGTGAGTGGTCAAGAGAGAATAGAGGCCAGGGGTTAGGGAGGAGGGAGCCAGGGGTCGTGGAAGGTCATGCTTGACTGTAACAGGTGTTTGGGCCTGCCCTGGAGCCTGACGAGTGCTAAAGCTGACTCCGTCATGAAGCACTTCTGTGCTCCTCTTCCGCTGTGGGTCTCTCACTGTAGGCAAATGCCTGTCTTCCACTGGTCTTTTACTTCCTTTCCTCTGCCAAATACATCAGGGGTTCCCCCAGCGTCTCTCTGGTGGGGTCGCCCTGCCCGTCTAGGTGATCCTCTTGGACAGCTTCTAATACAACCCCAGGCCTACCCTGCTGTGCTGGGCCCAAGTCTGGTCCATGGAGAACCTGCATGCACCCTTTGTCCATTCAACCAGATGCGCAACTCTTTTGCAATGCTACAGCCTATCTTGGCTCTGTGTCGCAGCAACCAGCTATTTCCTTACCTCTTAGATATTTTAGCATATGTCAGACACCAGCCCATATGGATCCCCAAGCTTTGGGCAGGGCTTCTCACCCTTGGCACTATTGCTATTTTGGGGTGGATAACTCTTTGTTGCAGGGGTCTATCTTGTGCATTGTAAGATGTTTAGCAGCATCCCTGATGTCTCCCCCTATCCCACACTGAGTTGTGACAACCAAAACTGTCTCCAGACATTGCTGATTGCCCCTGGTTGAAAACTGCTGCTCTAGGGTATACAAAACAAAGTCCCCACCTCATTGAATTCTCCAACATCTTTTATAGGGTGAAAACTGTTGGTCAGCCAAGGGTCACAAAACTGTTGTTGATCTTGCTTTGACTATGGTCCCTCAGGTTGGAATGTAGATACCCATTTTCTTGGGGTTACAGCCTAAACCAACATGTAATAGGATGTGTGAGCAAGTGACTTTGGGAAAATGACTTTTGTAATGAATTATTTAGAACAAAGAAATGCTAGTTTTTTGTTTTTTTTTTTTTTTTTTGGTGAATGTATTTTTAAGTATCTTCTGTGTATGTGGTATGGAGGAGCATAATTTCTTGTATTTATAATGTATCAACAAGCTGGTCTTAATAATGATAGCTTATGGTCATTGGGCATCTACTCAGTGCTAAGAACTCATAATAGACATTTCTGTTTTAAAAAAATTGATACATAATAATATACATATTTATAGGTACATGTGATATTGTAATACATGCTTGCCATGTGTGATGATAAAATCAGGGTAATCAGGATATCCATCAGTTCAACATTCAACATTTCTTTGAGTTAGAAACATGTCAAATTTTCTCTTCTAGAAATGTACAATAAATTGTTGTTAATAGTATCCTACTGTGCTATCAAGCACTAGAATGTATTTCTTCTATCCAACTGTATTTTTAAACCCTTAAGCCAACCTGTGTTCATTCCCCTTACCCCTACACTTCCTAAGCTCTGGTAACCATCATTTTATTCACAGCTTCCATGAGATCAATTTTTTTAGCTCCCACATATGAGTAAGAACATGCAATGTTTGTGTTTCTGTGCCTGGCTTATTTCACTTAACATAATCACCTCTAGTTCGATCCATGTTGCTGCAAAGGAAAGGATTTTATTCCCTTTTATGGCTGAATAGTATTCCATTGTGTATGTATGTATATGTGTGTGTGTATATAATGTATATAATGTATATACATTGTATATTTATATATGTTATTTATATATAATGTTATATAATATATAATATTATATACACACACATACATATATATATCACAATTTCTTTATCCATCCACTAGTGGACAGTTAGGTTAATTCAGTATTTTGGCTATTATGAATAGTGCTGCAGTAAACATGGGCATGCAGATAGCTCTTTGATCTACTGATTCCTTTTTCTTTTGGATGTATACTCAGCAATGAGGTTGCTGGATCATATGGTACATCTACTTTTAGTTTTTTAAGGAAACTCCATAGCTTTTATCCATAGTGGCTGTGCTAATTGCCATTCCCACCAGCAGTGAACTAGTATTCCCCTTTCTCCACATCCTCACCAGTACCTGTTATTGTTTGTCTTTCTGATAATAGCAGTTTTAACTGGGATGAGATGATATCTCAATGTGGTTTTGATTTGCATTTCCCTGATGATTAGTGGTGTTGAACATTTTTTCATAAATGTTTGTTGGCCATTTGTATGTCTTCTTTTGAGAAATGTCTATTTAGATCATTTGCCCAATTTAAAATAAGATGATGATGATGATTGTTATTATTATTTTGCTATTGAGTTGTTTGAATCCCTTATGTATTCTGTTTATTAATACCTTATCATACAGACAGCTTGCAAATAGTTTCTCCCATTATGTAGGTTGTCTCTGCATTATTTTGATTATTTCCTTTGCTGTGCAAAAGCTTTTTAGTTTGATGTATTTCCATTTGTCTATTTTTGCTTTTGTTGCCTGTGCTGTTGCAGTCTTACCCAAAATATCTGCCTGGACCAATGTTCTAAAGTGTTTCCCCAATGTTTTCTTCTGTAGTTTCATAGTTTCAAGTCTTACATTTAATTCTTTAAGCCATTTTAATTTAATTTTTGAATAAGGTGAGAAATAGAGGTCTAGTTTTATTCTTCTGCATATAGATACTCAGTTTTCCTAGAACTACTTATTGAAGAGCCTGTTCTTTCCCCACTGAATGTTCTTGGTTACTTGTCAAAAATCAGTTGGCTCTAAATATGTGGATTTATTTCTGGGTTCTCTATTCTGTTCCATTGTGTCTATGTGTCTGTTTTTATGTCAGTACCATGCTGTTTTGTTTACTATAGCTTTGTAGTACATATTAAAGTCAGCTCGTGTGATGCCTCCAGCTTTATTTTTGCTCAGGATTTCTTTGGCTATTTGGGGTCTTCTGTGTGTGGTTCCATATGAATTTTAGAATTGTTTTTTCTAGGCTGGGTGCAGTGGCTCATGCCTGTAATCCCAGCACTTTGGGAGGTCAAGGAGGGCAGATCATTTGAGGTCAGGAATTCAAGACCAGCCTGGCCAACATGGCAAAACCCCGTTTCTACTAAAAATACAAAAGAAAAAAAAAAAAAAAAGAAAAGGCTTTCCATGGTACCTCACGCCTGTAATCCTAGTACTTTGGGAGGCCAAGGTGGGTGGATCACCTGAGGTCAGAAGTTCGAGACCAGCCTGGCCAACATGGCAAAACCCTGTGTCTACAATAAATACAAAAATTAGCTGAGTGTGTTGGCAGGTGCCTGTAATCCCAGCTACTTGGGAGGCTGAGGCAGGAGAATTGCTTGAATCTGGGAGGCAGAGGTTGCAGTGAGCCAAGATCATGCCATTGCACTCCAGCCTGGGCAATAAGAGCAAAACTGTGTCTCAAAACAAAAACCAAAAAATTAGCTGGGCATGATAGTGCATGCCTGTAATCCCAGCTACTGGGGAGGCTGAGGCAGGAGAATCACTTGAACCCAGGAGAGACGGTTGTTGCAGTGAGCTGAGATCATGCCACTCCACTGCAGCCTGGGAGACAGAGTAAGACTGTCTCAAAAAAAAAAAAAAGAATTGTTTTTTCTAAAGAATGTCATTGATAATTTTGATACAGATTGCATTGAATCTTTAGATTGCTTTTGGTAGTACAGTTATTTTTACAATATTCTTCCCATTCATGAACATAGGATATATTTCCATTTTTTGGTGACATCTTCAATTTCTTTCATCAGTGTTTTATAGTTTTTCCTTGTAGAGATCTTTCACCTCTTTGGTTAAATTTATTTATGGGTGTGTTTTTAAAAGTAGCTATTGTGAAAGGGATTGCTTCTTTGATTTTTTTTTTTTTTTTTTTTGCTAGTT